CCGAGGGCAGCTGCGAGAGGGGCCAAGGAGCGGGCTGGGCCAAAGCTGGTTATTGTGTCCCTGGGGCTTTCCAGCTCAGCTGACCGGAGCTAATCCGGGATAAACACTACGCAAGATCCCGAGGAGGCAAAGTTTTTTGCTTGTCAGGCAAAATAGCTTAGAAAGATGATCCCACTTACTCTGTGTTATCATCTAGTAGATAATGGAAATTGCTTCTGTTGGGGGAGGGGAGCTTCACTTGGGGGAATTTTGAGAATTTTGGTGAGTATCTAGTAACCAGAGAAATAAGGGAGTTATCACAGTTATGTTACACTCTTCATTTTGGGAAGAAGCACAGCTTCGTGGAGAAGCTGGAGGATACTAAAATCACTTTTTTGCTTTTGATGTTGGTTTGATATTGAAGCCTTCCCTAAGACAGATTAAACACTTATTTTTCCCTTTTGTATTTTTAGAGGTCTGAGATTTCTAGGTGCGTGTGCCTTTCTCTAGCTTCACTGCTCTGTGTATCTTGTTTGGTACGGCAAGTTTCAGGTGCTTTGTTTGGTTAAAACTTTGCCCAGAGGATGAAAGCATCACCGATCTCATCAGCCTTGTTCTGCTCTTGATTCGTAAAGCTGTGAGCAGTGGCCTTGGAGCAGGCTGCCTACAGGTTGGGTGGGAGGGTGGTATTATCTCAGCTGCCGTTAGGAATTCAGCTTTGTCCAGGAAGGCTTTCATGTGACTGCGCTAAATAAAAGCCTGGCGTTCCTATCGTGATGATTCCGCCTCTTACTGGTTCACCTAGAAAAGCAACTTCCCTTGTTAGAGGCAAGTAAGCAAATGGATTTTTTTCAAGGCCTGGCATGTGGATTATATTGCATACTGGAAACTGGCTGATACTTTGTTCTGACAAGTCTGGGCTATTGTGTGATTCCCAGAGCGCTGGAAAGATTAAATGATCTTGCCTTCTGCTTTGTTTTTTAACTTGGTTTGATTTTTTTTTTTCTCCCATGCTAAAACAACAGTGAAAAACAAGGACATTTAATTAAAAAGTTTGCCAACATGAAATACATATTCTACCATGGGAAGGGGAGATAGGGGAGCCGAAAAACACAGTCGTCTTGAATGGATGAGTCACCATGACAACACAATTAAAATGTTGCCTTTCTTCTCTGGTTTCAGACAACCATTCCCAAATCTCTTACGAGATAACAGTGAGCTCGTCGTGGGCAAACTGTTTTCAGCATTAAGAGATTACTTGTTGTCACGTCTGCTGGTACTGTTCTGGGGCTGAAGAGCTGGGGAATAGGGAGCTAAGAATTACACCTGCATCTTTGTACCGTTCCTGAGTTAGGGCCTGCTTCCCTGAAACATATCCTAAAGGTGGCAGAGATTCTTATTCAGAAAGGGTCTAAAATAACACACACTCCTGCTATTCATTGGCATGATCTGCATACAGTTTCTGTGAGATTAAATAGATGAGTTTTGTGATAGAAGTAGTTCCAAGAAAACTGCATGACTGAGCTTTGTTTGTGCCAGAACACAGCAGTGTCATAGTCTTGAGGTCTCGAAGCTCCTTGCAGAGCTATAAAATTAATGTAGCAAGCTTTGCCCTGGAGTGGATGAGGAACATACTCATGAAACAGCATCCACTGGCTCAGCTCTAATAGTAATGCTCAGCAAAGCATGTGGGAAGCAGCATAGCCATATTTTTGCAGTGAACGCTTGACACCTGGGATTATTGCAACAGCTATGCAGAGCCTTCAAAATACAAAGTTTGATCAAGCCTGGATAATGCCCTACAATCTATGTGTCTAGAAACGTAAGTCTTGTGCTTGGGCTTTTTTAAATGCCAGGTCACAGAATCATAAAATAATTTAGACTAAAAGAGACCTCTGTATGTCATCTAGTCCAACCCTCCTGCTCAAAGCAAAGCTAACTTCAAAGTTACATCAAATACCTCAACTCGGAGTTCTGCTGACTTTTAAAAATGGCTGAGGACAGAGCCATGACAACCCTGTTGGATAGCCTGTTCCACTGCCTAACCACTCTCGTTATTATCACTGTTACAGTAATGAGGAGCATCCTCACAGGTGGCCACTCAGATCTATATTTTGGACAGTATATCCTCAGGTGAATATGTCACAGGGTAGATAAGCTCACTCAAAAAACAAGAAGTTAGATATTACAAATTGTAATTTGGAACCATGTAATTTTTAACTTGGTTAAAATCCAACTTTGCACTAGGCTCTGTGCTAAAACGTGCTTAAAGAGGTGAGTTCCTGTTCCAAAGAGTTCCCATCTAATGAGACCAGGCTCTTTTTATGCTTGGCAATTAGTTCCATCACATGCTGGGGTTTGCAGAGGAGCTGGGAATTCCTCTTAGCTCTCCCCAATTTCCAGTGGGATGCTTTTCATCACATGGTCATCCTTCTGCCCAGAAGAGATGTAGACAAAGGTCCCACCTTTCTTATTTTCTGTTCTCAGCACTGGTTGAAGTTTTAGGAGTTATTTTCTCAAAAGAAGAAATGTACCTTTTGTAGGTACAGACTCAAGTCCTTGCACAGAGAGAAAAAAAATTAAATTCTTCTGCTGTCTCATCAGGAGACTGCCTGCAAATTATCTAATCTCACACAGTGACTGTAGCTTTAAGGGATGTTTTTCATTAACACCACATTTTCTGTGTTAAAGCATACCAAAACCACTAGCTTATTCCATAGTGCTCCGAAGAACTGTCAGTTGGACTAATAACCGGGAAGGGAGTGCCTTGGTTTTATTTCAGCAGTGCCTCATACTATCAGCCCTAGTTTACCTGATTTCATGCTGATGACTGGGCATGCTTCATAATTTAATAACTGCAATATTGATCTAGACAGCTTTAAAAAAAAAACCAACACCCTGCCTAATTATGTTAACTGGTGAGCCTTGAGGGGTCTTGCGGGTATGTAACATGCAATTAAATACTACCTAATTAAGAATTTCCCTGATGTAGTGATAGTCTCCTGAGTAAATGCTATTTGCATGTCTCCATTCTTATCCAAGAACATCTTGTATTTTACTGATTAGCAGTTTCTGCCTGGTCTCCGTGGTACAATTTGGGAGAAAGGAAATGGGGGGGGTGATGGTGAAGCATTTTGTAGGCTTTCATGAACAATTAAAAGAAGTCATTAATAAAAATCTGTTTAAGCAGTGTTTGAAGGCACAGCGAAGTCTAGGCGTCAGGGTGAACGCTCCGCAGATGTGCTCGGGCAGCGTAGCGAAGCAAGAGCTCTCCCTTATCGTGAGACATCGGCACTGTGGTATCTCGGCAGAGCAGCACCAGCCGCAGCGGCAGCATCACCCCGTGGATTTCCTGGCTGCGCTTCGTGCGTGTCACAGCTCCGTTGGTTATTAACTCGCTTCTCGAGCAACTAGTTTTGTATTAAGTTAGAGCATGGGTGGATGCTTTAAGTCAGTGAATGTAGCAGGATATCGGATTTATTTTTTTTTAGTGTCTTAATGCTCCTGTTTGCATACAGCTTTCCACCAAGTCATTTAGCCTTTTGCTACCAACTCATTTCCCTTTTTTTTTTTTTCTTGTGGGGGAGTGTGCTGCAGAGGGGTTTTGATGGTGTTTTTTTATACTGAGGTCAGTATAAATGCCAATTGCAGCCTTTCTCACATCAAAAAAGAATGGAGGAGTGCCTGTTTCCCATAGATCCTCTGATATGTCCAGGCCTCAGCCTTTCTTTTGTGAGTCTGCTAATACAGCCTGTCTTCCATATTCTTGTTTTCACAAATGTTTGAAGAGTGAATGTGAGTGATCTCCCTGTGCTGAGATTGGCCAGCAGACTCAAAAGCAAGTGAGCACTTGGATATTATATATATATAAAAAGACTGAAGTGGTATATTCTTGTTCCCATTTGCTGTCTTAATAAACACGTAGAGTATGTCTCCCTGGTTACAGAAATGTCAAGTGCTGATGAAGAGAATCATTGTTTCACTTGTTGCAGTAAGATGTTTTCTTCTTTGATTTGTCCCTTTGAGCACAAGGATCAGGATCATTAAGGACATTTGCAAAGTACAGAATCTGTGACAGCATTATCTTATTGCTACTTAGGGCACTGCCGGCATTTGGGCCCTGGGGACTTCATTGGGAATGAAGAGAGCTGTGTACTGTGCCAGGATCAGGTTCTCAGGTTCCTAGAAAACACCTTCAGGTCTGTTAATATTGCAGTGATGTTGAACCACTGTTCTGAACAGACTGGAAGGAGGTAAAAGGAGGATTTACTGAGGACTGGAGTGAAATTGCTGGGAGCTGCAGGCATGGCTTTCCTTGGCCTTCTTGGTGATGGGATGCCAGATTGGTCATGTATAAATTGTGTTAGCATGGTGTGAATCAGATTGCCTGGCTTTCTGTACAAACTCTTCTGAAGTTCCAAAATCAATAACCCATTTAGAAAAGACTAAGTGGGCCCTGAATCAACTGTTGACAGAGATGACAACAATAATGAACGACTACAGTGTGGCACCACAGGAAATACTCAGCAACAGAAGCAGAGAAAAATGGGTTTGTGTCTTCAGTGTCCCAGTTGCTACGCCAGCTTTCTGCTGTTCGTGGGTCCAGGGCACTCTTCCACCCATCCCTCGGAAACAGGATGGTGTCGTTTCATGTCTGTCCTCCCGCAGTTCTCCCAGCTTACTGACCTGTCTTCCTCTGGTTTTTTTTGTAGGCAATCATTCTGATACACTGGCTGCTCACAGTGTGGTGAGTGATTGGTAACTGGCCTGGTCTGGGTGAGGAGAGGGTGTTCGGTCAAACTAGGAATGGGACATTCTCCGGGAATCACCACTCCCTGTTTGTGCCTGTCTGTGTGCAAGAAGATCCTAAATCTGAGGGGGAGGTGTTTGCGTGGGAACAGGGATGAATGCAAACAAACTGGTGAAGGCTTATTGTGAATGCAGGCTGTTTTGGGGTTTTTTTTGTCTTGTTTGGCAGGGGATGCATGAGTTACATGTTTCCAGCCTCCTATGCCTGGGGAAATTTCAGCGTCCTTGCAGTGGGGATCTGGGCTATTGTGCAGCGAGATTCCCTTGACGCCATCGTGATGGTGAGTGTGAGGGTATTCGCCTCCACAAGGCTGCTCAGGGAGAGGGTGGAGGGCAGAGGCAGCTTCTTTTGAGTCAGTGATGATTTTCAGCTGTTCCTGATACAGCAGCGAACAAGTCAAATACCCTGTTTGGCTTGTTTTGGGTTTTTTTTAGAGCGTATAAATCTGTAAGCACTGTAAACCATGGTGAAAAGCATTCACTGTCACTTATTTTGCTTCTCAGAGGTGAAGCGTACTTGATTCTTACTCTTTTACCTGCTGTTGTGACTTGTAATGCCAGCAGAGGACTCAAAGCATTTAATATGCTTGAGTTGGAGGGGCTTTATAAAACATTGAAAGGGTATCATGAGAAGGTGTCTGACAGATGTGAAGAAAATGCATGAAATACAATTCATTTAGGAATCTCTGTCTACCTGGGGCAGTGTCAAGGGTTAGCAGTGTGTGATACTGGGGTGAAGGCATGCTTGTGTGAACACAGATCTTGCAGGAAACAGATGGTGTAACTGACTGTTACTCCTGCTGGTTAATCCCCTGTTCAGTGTGTGTCCCGTTCTCTCTTTGTTTCCAGTTCCTGGCTGGCCTGCTGCTCACAGTCCTCACAGACATCATTCACGTCTCTCTCTTCTATCCTCCCAACAACTATCTCACTGATACGAAGCGTTTCAGTATAGGCATGGCCATCTTCAGCCTCCTCCTCAAACCTGTGTCCTGCTATTTGGTGTATCGAATGTATCGGGAGCGTGGAGGAGAGTACACCTTTAACATAGGTAGGATGCTGCTTCTGCCTCCACGCCAGTGTGGGCCACCTCCCCTGAGGTTAGGGAGGTGGCCTTGCACGTTGGACGCTTCGGCCTGAGCTCTGTGCAGCTGGATTCTTCCCTCCTTTCCAGGGAGAGGGGGTGCTTGCTTGTTCTTGCTCATGCCTGTTCTCCAATTTTGTGGTCTTAAGCCTTAAATTTACATTCTTCCTCTCTTCCCTTGCAGACCTGGAGTCGTCTGACAGCCATTTTGCCCACAGTGGTATTGATACCACTGCTGTCTCTTGTTCAGTCCAATTTTGTGGTCTTAAGCCTTAAATTTACATTCTTCCTCTCTTCCCTTGCAGACCTGGAGTCCTTGTCTGACAGCCATTTTGCCCACAATGGTATTGATACCACTGCTGTCTCTGTTGTTCAGTATAACCGAGAGGCTCTTCCTCTCTTTCTCCTCTTGCATTTGTTGGAAGCCTTTGGGTGTCCTTCTCTTTGCCAAGCCTTTTTTTTTTTCCTTCTCAAGGGAAAGTAAAGGCAGCATCCCCTCTAGCTGGATTATGCATGCGAGGGAAAGAAGCTGGATTTCTAACTCCCGGCTTTCTCTGGGCCTCACATGTCCTAGCTACCTTGATTGCTTTGGACCTCTATTTCCTCACCTGGAAAGTGGGACTGAGGTTCACCTCATGGGACTCTGCCTGGAGGCACTCATTTTTCTCTTGGTTGTACTTGCTAATGATCATGTGGCAGCCTTGCCAGAAAGAAAAGGCTATGGCTGGATGTTCTGGGTCACAGTCAACTTTGCTAAGCATGCCTGGTGCAAGTTCATGCTGGGGCAGCTGCCAGGGATTGTTTGCTGCGTGGGAGTTCACCTTGGCAAAACAAGCAGCCTGGCAGTTACCTTTTTGCGTTCCTAAGAAGGCTGTGCAGGACAAAGAATGGTGTAATGCATTACAGTGTTTGAAAGCTGTCACTTGTGCTGCTTTGGTGCTAGTAAAGATGATAACGCTTCCTCTGATAAGAGGTGGATACCGGCAGTGGAGGAGAGGCTATGGAAGGAAACTGTGGCTTGGGGCACGATGTGCTGTTTGCACCTCTCTGCCGGTGGGATGTGGATGTCTTCTCCATCAGCTGCTTGTGCAAATGCCAGACAGATCTGTCCTAACCGGGTTGGAAGGCCTGTGAGTCAACTGCAGTGCCTTGCCATGGGCCATGTGTGTGCCAGTTTCTATTAGCTGCTCATTGTGCTTGTAACTGGGATTTGGGATTTGTGTCCCGTGGAAAGTATAGGTGACACTGAGGCATTCATCCATTTGCTTGGAATTTGGGAGCACTCCTTTTCAATCACACTATCCCAACACAGGCATGACACTGAGAGTCTCCTCTCAGGCATAGGTTGGAATTAGGACACTACTTGTTTCATATCCTCTCCTGAACTGTCTTTCTCGCAAGATTTTCAGTGCAAACTCTGTGCTGTTCTTGTGTTGAATGTGATTGACATATTTTCTCTCTCGTTTTCCTGCTATCTCGCATTTATTTTCTGGACCTAACAGTGTTGCATTTCTCAAGGTCTTCTCTCTCTTGTTTTCGTTTCACACAAACCTGCTTTTTGTTGCTTGGCAGCACCGAACAAGCCTGTGATATAGTTTGGTGCCCACGTATGATTCAGATTGCTTTTAGCCATGCCTGGCCTGTAGATAAAGAGCTGTCCATGTACATTTTTTCCCTACTCATCCCCTGGACAGTAGCATGATTTTGTACCAGTCTTGTGCCACAGGCGAACTGTGCAATTGGGAGCACTGCTGGATTCAAATTTCGTGCCATGGTGTGGCACACGAGGCATAGCCGTGTTGTTGGGAAGAGTGGTTCGTGGATGAGTCATGCTCTTAAATCTGTGCTGTCAGCTAGCCATGGTTCCTGCAGCTTCTGGTTTTGTCTCTTCATTTTTCCTCATAAACTTGATCCCGCTGAAATATGCTATTACATGAGCCGGTTACGCTGCTGCGTAGGATTGTGGGTCTTGCTTTCCACACAGCCATGTGGCTACTAAGAGAGCAGTTCTCAGGGAATGCAGAGGCGTGTTCAACTGCATCTCAGTTATTCTGGCTTTGTTGTAAGGATGAGTTTTCTTACCTCCTGCCTGTGTAATGAGGATCACAGAACACAGGTGCTGGGGAGCTGGTAATGCAGCTAATGTGGTGTGCTCCTCAGCTGTTGGTTTCTTCTAGGGGATTCAGTTCTTGTGCTTTTGGTTTTTCCCCAAGCTTGTTCTCTTCCCTCTTCATTCAGGTGTTGCCCGTGGAGGCCAGGATCGCAGCACCTATGAGTCAATCGATCAGCAGGATGCCTCTCCGCAGTGGCCTGACTCGAGCAAGACAGCCCAGCAACCATACTGAGCCCCTCTGCAACAAAGAACGGACTGTTCCCGTCTGTTCTGATGGAGCAAGACCTGCTACTGAGCAAACAGCAGACGATCTGATTTTTCATTTCTTTTGCCTCCCTGATGGTTAGGCAGATGTGTTCCTGCAGTAAGTCCAGAAGATCTCGGAGATGTCATGTTAAGCACTGTGACTCTTTGTAATCCTGGTACTCTCCTTTCCTCCTTCCCTCTGTGCGTGGACGCACCTTCTGCAGTTTTCCAAGTCTTGTCTTGTGTGTCCTCTCTCTTGTAAGTAAGGGAACTACTCAAAATATTCCTGGAAAAGCTATCTTTAAAAGGCTTATGGACTGCCCTCAAACAATCCAGTTTAGCCTGCTTTTATGCAGATATATTTCCATGAACATCTGGGAGTTCCTGAGCGCTGTTTTTGATGCTGTTCTTGAACTGATTTGTGACTGTAACTCCATATGCTAGCTGTGGTGGTTTGCACAAAGCTGGGGTTGGTATAAAAGGCTCTTACTGGGCCAGGGAGCTACTCGAGCTCCCAGTATCTAGTCTCGGGTTTTATTCACTGATGTTTTTATGCAAGCTGAATGTCCTTCAGGATACTTAAAATGGTTGTTGAATGTCGGTTATAGATACTCTGTGCCTTGAAATGTCCTTTTGCCTTCAGCTGCTGCCTTAACAGAACTTGAAATGTTACATTTTTCTACAAAAACTATAAAATGAACATGGTATTTCTGTGTTAGAAAAAATTACACTGGTCACCAATTTATCATTTCAAAATTTAGGTATTCCTGGGGTTTGGGACTGTAGTCAAGCAGTCTAGGAGAGTCATTGTGGGGGAGGGTCTTACAGGGCTTTGGTGGCTTTTAGTCTAAGCTTTACTCAGACAAGTAGAGGGCATTGCTTGTAAATGTGTGGGTGGTGAAGGTGGACTAGTAAAATGAGGACTGGGGAAAGGAAGAGATGGGTTTATTTACACTGCAGTGGTGAGCTCTGTGGGGTGTGACAAACTATAATCTTGCACACAATGCATCTGCTCTGCTGTGGCTTGAAGGGTGAAATCCTAAAAAAAAGTGTTCAACAGGATTCTTTTTCAGAAGAAAAAGAGTGTATCAGCTTTGGCAGACTGAAAATATTAGTGCTGGGAAGATCTGTGTTTTTTTCTGAAGCAGGTTCATTTTCAAAGTACACATCTGTTATTTACAATTGCATCTCTCTTGACAAGACCTGCTGCTGCATTGATTCTTCAGCGGCCAAGAGCCTTGTTAACTTTGCTTAACCATGCCATTCATATATTTACAACCAAGCAATTTTCTCCCTATTTTCATCACTTTAACTGTAAGCAGATGCTTCCTCCACTATGCTGAACAAGCACTACAGTGACCTACTGCTGTACCCGGACCATCATCACTTACGCTTGGACCAATCACATGGTAAATGCCATAAAAAGTGGGATAGTCTGATTTATTCTCTTGAATGTTGTACATTCATTTTGCAGGCTGCCATGCAATAGAGCATAGGAATAGGAATCAGTCTGCTTTTGTGATCAGATGGGGAAGAAGGAAGAATAGGTTGAGAGAAATTTCTGGGGCTTGTGGAGTTGCAGAGTGGGCCTTTATATTTAGTTAATGTTATTTTCAGCTTCTGGGAATTATACAGAGACAGCATGGATCCCTGAATAACACGTTGAAACACACAGGTCTAGTGAAGAAAAAATCTGGGAAGCGCAGACTGAAAAAAACCTGTTTCAAATGCAATGCTGCTTGGGTATTTGGACAAGCAGTGAGTGGGGCTGTTCTCTATTGCGAAAGACGCCACAGAATCTATTGACACCCATCCAGCTGGCCTGCTGTGTGCCTTTCTGTGGAGAATTCAGCACATCTGGGAGCTCGGGAGCAGGGTGAGGCATGAGTAATACTCTGCCTCAGGGATACGTATTTTGGGCAGTAAATCAGGTGATAATAAACCCAAGGCCTCTCCTGGCTTCGGAGGAGGAGGGCGGCGTTTGTTTTGGCAGCGTTTACGAGAAGCATCAGTGTGCTGTAGGATCAATACCTGGTTTAGTAGGGCACGTGGGGATTCACTGATCCTGTTGTGCTGGAGTACAGCCCTGCTGATCCAGGCAGCCGGGCTTCACCACGGGGCCCC